GCGGATTATAAACGACTGGTGTTCCGAAAGAAAATGAAAAATTCCAAATTCGGATTTTGGGGGTTTTTTTCCGGTGAATTCGGGAAGTAAGTGAAGTGATGGAGAGTTAATGAAGGAGAAGGAAAGAATTGATAAAAATTTCCAAAAAACAATACCGCCCATTAAACTCCGGAACTCTCCATCCTCAAAACCACGGTGGTCCTTTCAGTAGCGAACGAAATGATACAGAACGGCACGAAGTAGTGGCGCCCGGGCTTTTGTCAGCCGAGGTGTCGCCGTGGATTAAAGAGAACTCCGGTGGACACAAAGATGGCAAGGAAAAAGCCATGGCCATTGCGTCATTAGAGACTTACAAAAATCTGCAATGTGAAACAAAGAATTGAGACGCTGTAACTCTGCCCCGGTATGGAGAGTACATGAGGCAGTGTGGTTGCTGTGATGAGATGTGAAAAGAAAAGGAGGTGAAGGGGGTGGGGAAGAGGGCGACAAAACCGGACGACCAGAGGATGAGATGGATGACAAGGGGGTAGAGGCACGGGGGGAGAGGGATGCAGTCAGGGAGAATGAACAAAAGAAAACGAGGACATGAGAGAAGTGAAAAGAGGTACGCGAGGAAGGGAACTACTCTGTGCCTGTGCGCGTTGCTTGTAAAGATATTGCAGAAAAGTGCTTATCAAGAAAACACATTAACATTTTTCTCGAGGAAAAGATGAAAAAGGCGCAAAACGAGGGAGAGAAACTTTTTTTTAATGAATAAAATGAGGGAAAAGCGAAGAGCAAAGTTTGCGTTGTATTCGTAGATCTTCATATCGGAATTAATAAATATGAATGAACACCCGAGTCGACGATTTGGTTCTGATTGGACGTACACAGGTCTTTCAAGATCTCTCCAGATCTAGATTGACCTGGTAAGTCCTAATCAGTTCTGCGACGTATTTTTCCGGAGACCTTTCGAATCCTCAGTTCTTTTCGGTCCTGAGAAGTCCTCCTCTGTACTACCGAGACCGCGGGATTTCATGAGAGGGGGAGGGGAGAGCTTGTATGCGGAGGGTTGAAATTTGTAGCCAACGAGGAGAGAGGATTGCAGAATATATTTTAGCCACCCTCATCTCTCCGTTTGCAGGCAGTGTTTAAATANCGCGTGATTTTACGAGCGGGTGAAGGGGAAGGCATGTATGCGGAGGGTTGAAATTTGTAGCCAACGAGGAGACAGGGTTGCAGAATATATTTTAGCCACCCTCATCTCCCCGTTTGCAGGCGGTGTTTAAATAAAAAATAGTGAACGTTGATTCTGTATTTATTGACCCCCTGATGCCAATGAAACCCTCGGAGGTGACAGAAAAGACGAAAAGAAAATTTTCATTTTCACGTGGGTCAGGGGCCAGGGTGAAAGTCGATTTTCGCCAAAATCGAATTTCTTAGCCGGGTGAACGTTGATTCCAACTATTTACGCGACGGGCTATTCAAAACTATCAAAAGTATGTGGAAAAAGTGGAAACTGAAAAAGTGTTTTTTTTCACATTTTCAAAGGGTCAGATTTTCCGTTTTCCAAGGGGGAAAGTCGACTTTCGCCAAAATCGAATTTTTTAGCCGGGTGAACGTTGATTCCAACTATTTAAGCGACGGGCTATTCAAAACTATCAAAAGTATGTGGAAAAAGTGAAAACTGAAAAAGTGTTTTTTTTCACATTTTCAAAGAGTCAGATTTTCCGTTTTCCCAGGGGAAAAGTCGACTTCCGCCAAAATCGAATTTTTTAGCCGGGTCAACGTTGATTACAACTATTCAAGCGACGGGCTATCCAGAACTCTCAAAAGTATGTGGAAAAAGTGAAAACTGAAAAAAAAAAATTTTCACTGAGAGCCAAAGAAAGCAATTTTGCCAAAAATTTCCCAACTTCCTTAAAATAAATAAATTCTATCAATTTGATAATATAAATTCTTCAATTAATTGGGAATTCAAGAATATATTTACCTTAATTTTCCTCATTTCCATTCATTTTCCTAATAATTGAACTAAATAACCACTTTCCATTTATTTTTGCTTAAAATTTTGAACAATCAATTACGAAATTCCTTCATTTTTCAGTAAAACTATAATGTGATAAAAGTTTCAAAATATACGGGGAATTTCAGCCAGAAAATTGTTACCAGTGAGGAGCTCTTTCGACAGCGGGGCTCCCAGGGGAGTGGGAGGTGCGTTGAACCCGCCCCCGTGAATCACTTGAATGCCAGCCAAACTGCGAGTAATCCCGAGAATTCCGCCAAATATTAAATAAACTCAATTTCATTATCTCCCCTTCATCCCATCAGACTTCACATTTCCCAGAACAAGAGAAAAATCTAGATTTAAGAACGTCAGAGGTACGAGAATAACCTAAAACAGATGAAAGTATACTTCTATAGATGTGCAGAGAGGAAAAATAGAGGAGAAATTGTGACTTTAACGCGAAGTATAGAGATAGGTCAAGCGCGCCTCCTTCGAAACTAACGAGGACACGACTATGTACTGTCAGGCGAAGTGAGTGAGGAGCACAAAACGGTCGAGAGAGGGGGGAGTGGAACTGAGGAGATACTGAGTTGAACAGAGACAACATATAATACACAAAACGCGAGGAAAAAGCTCTCCCGCGAATATGCAACTTCATTCTCTTTGACGTTACCCAGACACATCCCTCCACTTTTCTTTATTTGCGTTTACTTGAAAAAAAAACTCCAGTCGTGCGAAGGGCTGAGAAAAAAATATTCAAGCCTTCGCTGTGAAATCATTTTTGAGAGCAAATGACGTCAGAAACGTGAAAAGCCTGTGAGTGAGGACAGAGGAGAGTAAAAAAATTCTCCAAAGGAAAAAATTACGACTCCCAAGAATCGAAATAGCCAAGAGCTTTGCAGAACGCGGAAAGATAATGGAAAAACCCATAACAGCCCAACAAAGGGTATTTACAGTCGGGAGTGCACTGAGGAATACGGCAATATTCAGGGTTAAAAAAGACCAAAATTGAAAAGACTCGAAAACATTACAAATAATCATACATTTAGAATAAAATTGAAATTTCAAAACAGAATATTCAGCACCAAATTGCGCTGATTTTCAATTGACTGAGAATTGAAGAATATATCTGCCTAAATTTTCCGCATTTCCATTAATTTTTATTAAACAATTGAACTAAAATTTACAGTTGCCATTAATTTTTCCATAAACTTCTGAGTTTTCAATTAAAAAATTCTTTAAAATTTCAATAGAACTACCTGAGGTAACATTTTCATAAAACTTTTCAACAGTGTAGAATAAAGCCAATAAAACAATAGAATAACTCCTTGACTTTACCCAAACACATCCCTCTACTCTCGTTTATTTGCACTTCCTTGAGAATGAAAAACTCTTCACTCGTACGAGAGCTAAAAAAAATACTGAAGTTCCCGCGGTGAAATTATTTTTCAGAACAAACAACGTCAGATACGTAAAAAGCCGATGAGTGAGGACAGTACAGTAAAAAAAAACTCCAAAAAGTTAAATTCCATCTCTCAAGAATCAAAATAACTAAGAGCTTTTCAGAACGCAGAAACCCATAACAGCCCAACAAAAAGTCTTTACGACTGAGAGTGCACCGTATATGGCAATACCCAGGGCTGCGTAAAACTCCCCGAAAAAAAATAAAAAATTGAAAAGATTCAAACCAAGAGGGAGAGCCGAGAGTGAAAGAGGAAAATTGACTGGCGATCCGTAAAATCCAAGTTTTACGCGATAAAAATTTCCAAGAAGCTCGCGGAAATTTTCGCCAAAAATTCTTAATAGTGTAGAATAAAACCAATGAAACAATACAATAACTCCTTGACGTTCCCAAAACACATCCCTTCGCTCTAAGAAAATCCCTCTAGTCATGCAAAGGGTTAAAAAATATATTCGCTCTTTCACCGTGAAATCATTTGTCCGAACAAACAACGTCAAAGACATAAAAATCCGTTGAGTGAAGCCAGTCCAGTAAAAAAAATCTCCAAAAGGCAAAATTCCATCTCCCAAGAGTCAAAATACCCAGAGCCTCGCAGAACGCGGATAAATAACGAAAAAAACCCATAACAGCCCAACAAAAGTATTTACGACTGAGAGTGCACTGAGTACGGCAATACCCAGGGCTGCGTAAAACTCCCTGAAAAAAAACTAAAAAATTGAAAAGACTCAAACCAAGAGGGAGAGCCGAGAGTGAAAGAGGGAAAATCGCCTGGCGATTCGTAAAAGCCAAGTTTTACGCGGGTAAACAGTCTTTACGACTTTGCGAGCCAAGTTATTCCACGTTAAACTCCACCGGATCAGTTTTGGTGTAGTTTCCCGGAGGGTATATAACCCAAGACAGTGGGGAAAGATACGGTGAATACACCGAGTGAGAGTCAGTGGCAATAGCCACCTAGGTATAGAGCCCAACCTGAGGTTATTACCTTGTGCAGCCGATCTCCCTGGGTATACGATGTACCGAGTCCGTTCCAAGCTCCAAGTGCTTTCTCCCCCCCCCCCTGGCCCCTCCGTCCCACCGCCAGCGTCCGTCCCACCCAGCGGTGCAAAGTGTGCAAGTTTCGTGTTTTAAGACCCTGCAGAGCTCCACCAAGCTCCCGGATGAGGGTGGCGGAGAGTGGGTGGCGGGCTTGTTCGGTTATTGTGTTTGCCATACAGAGAAAACCAGTGGTAGTAACTGAGAAGGACGTATATGAGCTGGTTACTGTCGTAAACCCCAGAAGCTAGATGGCTCGTATAATACCCCTTCCCCCCCTTCAATTCCCTCCCAGCCCCTCAATAATTGCACGTTTTAATGGATGAAAAATAAAAATTCAAGCTTGTTTTTTCAGCTGGGAATTATCAGCCGTCTCAGCCACCGGTATCTCCTCTCACCGAGAGACGATAAAAAAATAAAAAAATAAACATTGATTGAAAAAAATATAAAACTGTAGTGATTGTTAATTGTGCCGATACTCATAGTGTGCAATATGTTTTGCTTTCTTTTGAATTGCAGGTAATTATTCTCGGCTAGCGTGTGAAATCCAGTTTGTGAGATCGATGGGATACTACCTGATCCAAATCTACATACCCTCGGGATTAATCGTGATAATCTCATGGGTGAGCTTTTGGCTAAACCGAAACGCAACCCCCGCTCGGGTAGCCCTCGGAGTAACCACTGTGCTCACCATGACAACCCTCATGTCCTCGACAAACGCGGCCCTCCCCAAAATCTCCTACGTCAAGTCAATCGACGTCTACCTGGGAACGTGTTTCGTCATGGTCTTCGCCTCACTCCTCGGTAAGTAATTACTGGGCCCACAAATTCCCCCAAAAACAATGAACATATGACTGCCCCGACCCTGAGGACCATAAAAATCGCAAACAAGATACGAATGTTGAATACTTACACGCTGACACGATGAAACAAGAAAACACAGAGTGATGAAGAAAAAAACAAAAAAAATTGTTGATACGCACTTGTACTATCATCCACTCACACAGATGGGTGCGACAGCTGTCCGAGGGTGCCATGGCTTTTCTTTAAATCTCAATGATTGCAACAAATGCTACTTGTTAACTGACTAATGCATCAGTCGTGGCTGGAGCTGCCTGACAATGAGGACATTGATAATTCGATCCTCGCGAGTACTGGAACAATCGATCGATCCTAAACACTGCATACTGTTGGCACCAAGTATTATTTACCAACATTTGATTTATCAAACATTATTATTGATTTGGGCACAATCGTAATTTTAACCGTGCGTACGAGACTAACACGGTGGGCACACTTATTTAGCTGAATTAACATATGTTGTTCACGTATTTTTGGTATTTTGGTGGTTAAATGAAAATTATTAAATTTTTACGTAATTTTTGAGAATAATGCATTTTGCATCAACGACAGTGTGCAGCGATTTCGATTGATCGAGCGGGCTGACTAGCGAGTGACGCACGATTTGCTCGTTCAACTCAAAATTACCATTCGCTAATTGGCTATTGTCGTTGATGTTTGAGACATTTTAATTGCAAGAGGGGAGCAAAATTTTTGGATTAATTCGGCCTGAAATGTCGAGCGATCGTGTCGTGAGCCGTGGAACAATCGATCGATCCCAAACAGTGCACACTGTTGTAAATAATTGTGATAGAACAACTGAAAAACCCAAATTATTGAAAAATTTACAATCGATTGAATTCTCGCGGTGTTCAATGCCTTTCGATAGATGAAAAACGCAGTGTGCAATGATTTCGATAGATCGTGCGCTCCCTCGTCTCACGGAAGACTCCAATTGCGGAAAATATAAAGACAATGGGCTCGGATATAGCCGGAGTCACGGGAGTCTAGTCCTCCGGGCAATTGCTCTCGTCCCCGACTGACTGGATTCTCCCCAAGAGATTCAAATTCTATCTCGGTTCTGTCCCTCAGTCAATCCTCAACCACCTCAACCCATCTTCCCCGTGTTCGTACGTGATTTTATACTGTCGCGATGAGACGATTGGATTTTTTCTCTACTTCCAGTTTTTTTATTTTCCGGTTAAACCGAACCTCTCACTAACGCTTGTTCCGCTTTAATGTAACGATACGCTTCACCTTATTCCTATCGTGGTCTTTTCAAGGCTGATAGCGCCCGGAGAGTGGAACGAGGGCCGATCGGGTGCATTTACGGGGCTGTAAAGAACTTTAAAAAGAGGGTTGAGGGGAAAGGGAAGGGGTTAATGGGGAATTGTATATTGTTGAGGGCGGCGGGCATAGGGAATGGAGCAGTTTTCGTTTGTGGCAAGGGAAATGACATTGCGGCCTTGTACTCGCGGCTCATATCCGCGCAGTCCTTCAGGGATAAGAGATTTTCATGAGATCGTCGTGACACTCGAATGGTAGACGGCAAGGGAATGGTTATTACTGGGGGGACGGTTCACTAGATAGCGGTTCTGGAGTTAACATCTGGGCTCTTTAGTGAGTTTTGTTTATTGTGCAGGGGGAATTCATTTTTTGAGATTTTGACGAGGATTCGTCTGTGGCTTCATTAGAAAGGGGTTTTTTGGGAAAAAGTCTTTATGTCGTAACGCTGTCTATCGGAAATGTGGAAAATAGAATTTTGTCAATTATTTTGTCAAGTATTTTGGAGGAATAGGATAGAATTATTTAGAGAATTTCGGTCATTTCCATTTAGTCGCATGGCCATTTTGAATGAACATTTTTTGGTGAAATAAACGTTTTTGTATGAAGATTGCTTCAAATACTGCATTTCTATCGGATTTGTCATCTTGAAAAGGTCCCGTCATGTGTGAATAAGCCGCCTCTTGACCGTAATATTTCTTTGTTGTAGATAGCACAGCAATTATTCGTGTGAAAAAATTTCAAATTAAAATTTGATTCTTCGTCTTTTCTGGTAATTTTTGACTGGCGGTTTTTTTCTCCGCACAAGACTTGTTAGAGAACTTATTCGTTTTTCTCTCCATGTATAAATATTATAAAATTAAAAAAATTGCAGTATTCACTGAAAAATATTAACTTATTAATTAATCATTTCTAGTGAAAACCTGAAAACTCAAATATTTGGCTCGAAACCCAAACATCTTGCATTAGAAAGTTCAACATTGTCCCCCGGAACCAAAAAAGATTGCGGTGAATATTACCCACTGCACGATAGAATCCCTCCAATTACCGAGC